AGCTCCAGCAGACAAGAGTCATTTGTCCCACCCTGGTCATTCCACAGATATATAAACCCATTTTCCTAGTTCAATAGACCTCACTACCTCTGAGGATGCTTGCCCTAGATGCAGGCAAAACGTCAGGAGAGAATGCCTCTAGAACATAGCCATATAGCCCAAAAAAAACCCCTATCTGCTTTGAATTGGGTTATCTGAGTCCACACTTGGATAATGTGGGATTTCCTGCCATGATATTCTGGGAAATAGCTCTGTGTGGTAGGGCCCTAGGTTATCTTGAGTCCACACTGTCATATAATCTAGAGAGCCGTCAGGCTTTCTTCCCTGGAATATGGGTTGATTTGACCATGCAGTCCAAGGCACTCTCAGGATTTTATTCCCTACACCACACTTCCAAAGTGTCTCTCTTCCTTCGCTCAGGCTTCAATATGGGTATGATACAGCTGTGTGGAAGGGCCCTTCTTGACTGACACATATCCAAAATATTAAGGCAGATAATCCACAATATCTGCTTCAAACCAAGTTAGCTGAGTCCAAACTGCCATAGAATCCAGTTCAAAGCAGATGTTGTAGATTTCCTCCCTTGACGTTCTGTGGAAAGGCCCCTAATTACACTTTAACAGCAAGTATAATTATCTCCTTGTCCAGATTACATGGCAGTGTGGACTCGGGGCCCTTCCACACAGCCCTATATCCCTTCAAAGCAGATATTGCCATAAAATATCTGCTTTGGTAGCCAGAAAAATTGGAATGTTAAATAGCCTCTGACTGTCTGTCTATATGTGTTGTGTGTTTATGACATTGAATGTTTGCCATGTATGTGTACATTGTAATCTGCCCTGAGTCCATGAGAAGGGCGGAATATAAATACTGTAAATAAATATTGTGGGATTTCCTACATTGATATTCTGGGACATAGGACTGTGTGGAATGGCCCCCTGTTATCTGAGGCCACACTCAGATAATGTGGGATTTACTGCCTTGATAACCCAGGGCCCTTCCAAACAACCCTATATCCCAGAATATCTGCTTTGAACAGAGTTATCTTAGTCCACACTGCCATATATTCCTGTTCAGAGCAGATATTGTGGGATTTTCTGCCTTGGTATTCTGAGATATAGGGCTGTGTGGAACGGCCCCCAGGGCCCTTGCACACAGCAATATAACGCAGAATATCAAGACAGATAATCCACAATATCTGCTTTGAATTGGGTTATCAGAGACCCTTTCCACACAGCTGAATAAAATCCCATATTTTCTACTTTGAACTGGAATATATGGCAGTGTGAGCAGATATTGTGGGGTTTTCTGCCTTGATATTCTTGGGACCCTTCCACACAGGGCCCTGTGTTATATGGCTATGTGGAAGAGCCCTCAGCCCACACTACCATATAATCTAGTTCAGTGTGAGATTTTGTACAGCTGTGTGGAAGGGGTCTGTTATGTGCCTTTAGAGGCTATATATATGGATCCAGATCAGTTTTCAAATGGAAAGGCATCCAGAAGAAGTGGTTGCTTTGCTCTTTCCCCCTGACATGGTGCTTCCTTTCACCCTGTATTTGTGCCCCTGGCGTGAGCGCGCACGGCTTCTTCCCCCCCCCCCCCTCCAGGCACACGCTTCAAAAAGGGCGGGAAGGCCTTTTGCCGCCCAAAATGATGTCTGGTTTTTAAAGACCTTGTGGGGGAGGGTTGGCCCCTATCTGGAATAAGTCGTTTTAATTCAACCATTTTTCTCCCTAGGTGAGAGCTCCCTTATATCTAAGATGAAGTTTTTGAATGTAAAGCTCCCTTAATAGATCATTTGCCCACACATTCGTACCTGGATCATTACAATATAATCCAGTTCAAAACAATAACGTGGATTATATGGCAGTGTAGATGGGGCCCCTGTTACCTTCCTTCCTTTCTTGTTCATATGGGAGTGATTTTGAATGGCTAGATACTGGTTTCATCTTCAAGGGACATTAGGAGTTGTGTGCATGTGTAATTTTTGTAGGATTACTGGACTAGCGTCCCTGCTCTAAATCCTGATGTGTTTTCTTCTGTGAAAGTTTCAACACTCTAGGAAAGGGGTAAAAGGAGGAATGGCTTCATGCATTTGTAGAACCTCGGGGAGTAGGCAGCGGTGGAGGGGGGGGGGCTCAATTTGCAGGATCAAAATTCCAGAAATAAGTGAGATCTTGGGTTGGCTGCATGGACTCAATAGAGGTCACAGTGTTCTGAAATAAAAGGAGCCATTATGTAGCCTAAAGCTGCAATGTTAGGGAAGAAAGGATAATGCATCAAAATAAGGAGCATCTGGCAATGCAATTACCAGCACAGCCCTCCAACAAACATATCTCTCTTTTCAGAGAGACACAGATTCCATAAGTAAAAAGATCCATGTGTTCATTGAAAAGAGGGATGTATTTAATATTGATTGCACATGCATTATTGAAATAATTGTCATAACCATGTGGACTTAGTTTATGCAGTGCAGCCCTTCAAAATTAGTACATTACAAGCTTAAGTCTTCAAATAGCTCTGTAGAGTCTCACAGAACATCTATTGTGCCCACAGGCCACCTGGATTTTCCAGTGACTGTTGTTATTTTTAATTGATGCTCCTATTTATGCAGCCAAAACATAGGAATGTAAGGTATTGATATCTTATGTCTTGCTACACATTGGAGAAGATGAACCGTTCCAAGTTGGTTTGAGACTGGAGATATTAAAACTGAATAGGAAGGAATAAGGCAAGAAATCGGGGTGCTGGCTTTCCAATGTCTCAAATGTGTTACGTATTTAAAATAACCTTAGTGGTTAAAAACTCAAACAAAAATGGGTTGTGGATTTTTTCACCCTTTGCCTTTTCTTACAGGCTGAAGGAGATACCAAGGGTGACAAGGCCAAAACAAAGGATGAGGTAAGTAAGAGGATTGTTTCCATTTGCGAAAACAATGGGTTGATCCTACACTTAGTAATACGTGGCTCCATTTGAGTCACATCTGTCACAAAACCCTGCATACAGGAAAGGAGTGGGTAAGGAGCACCTCTGGGGGCTGCATATTGATTTCTGGTCCCCGCCACCCAGCTCCCACTGGGCCACCCATTGGGGAAAGTGGGATAAAGTGCTTTTTTGGAAGCAGCAATTCGCTTTTTGATTAGTTCTCAGAGCCTTCTACAATTTAATATCTTGTAGTTTTCAGCCACTGCTAGTTTTCTCTAACTTGTCATTTATTTTCCCCCCTCCCCTTTTTTCTACTTCTTGAACCAGCCACAACGGAGATCAGCAAGGTTATCTGCTGTAAGTATGTTTTATGACAGTTTTCTTGGAAATAGTAATAATAATAATAATAATAATAATAAGTCCTTTGTCTCACCCTGGTCATTCCACAGATATATAAACCCTTTGTCCTAGTTACAACAGACCTCACTACCTCTGAGGATGCTTGCCATAGATGCAGGCGAAACATCAGGAGAGAATGCTTCTAGACCATGTCCATATAGCCCGAAAAAACCTACAACAACCCTATAATAATCTTTATTTATACCCCGCCACCATCTCCCCGATGGGGACTCTGAGCGGCTTACATGAGGCCAGGCCCGAACAACAATTACAATAAAGAAAACCAAAACACAACCGAAAACACGAACAATAAACGATAACATCATAATTACATAAAACATATGGATACATAACAATATGAGAATTACAATAGTAGTTGTAGTTGTAATTTCTAAATAACTTCTAGTAGAATGCATTAATTTGAGGACACTGAAGAAAACTATACAATACAGAACACAGCAGCAATAACCAATGTATTAATTTAAATGTACTTACTCAGTGTATTTTTGTTTCTAGAAACCTGCTCCTCCAAAGCCAGAACCCAAACCTAAAAAGGCAGCTCCAAAGGTGAAGTTAAAGTTTCAGTTTGAAATTCTGCAATGTGGGATACTTATAAACGGTTGTTTTAATATACATAGACTTTAAAATGCAAGTATGTTTGTTGGTTTATGCACTAACAGCTGCTAATATATTTCACTTAATTAGCAGAAGGGTGAGAAGGTAGCCAAGGGAAAGAAGGGGAAAGCCGATGCAAACAAGGATGGAAATAACCCTGCAGAAAATGGAGATGCCAAAACAGACCAGGTATAATAGCGATATAATACCTTATGTATTTTGGTAAGCTAGCTTTGCTTATAGAATTTGAAGTAATGTTAATATTGCAAACCAATGTGTTTCCAGTTAAGCTTTTGGTTAATTTATTGTGAACAAAACCATTGACTTTATTTAGTAGTAAGTATACTTTAGTTCTGATGTATGAAATGACACTTAAACGGCATGGTGTCCCTTTTCCATCAGGATATCTGAGAATAGCTTGTAGTTTGGTGTAGCAGGTGTGTGCCTGTGTCATGTAAACATTGTAGTTTGAGTAACACATTCCTGTGACATCATATCAGCATAAAGCACTCTAACAGATTGTCCTTTCTCTTTCAGGCACAGAAAGCTGAAGGTGCTGGGGATGCCAAGTGAATTGTGTGAATTTTTGATAACTGTGTACTTCTGGTGACTGTACAGTTTGAAATACTATTTTTTATCAAGTTTTATAACAATGCAGAATTTTGTTTTACCTTTTTTTAAAAGCTATGTTGTTAGCACACAGAACGCTTCGTTGTTGTGTTTTAGGGGGAGGAGAAGGGGACAAATATCATTGAATCTGTTACTTAGAACCTGAACTTTTAAAGTCCCTTCATTTTTGCTAGAGGGGATATTCATGGAAACAAAGACAAAAGATTCACAGATATTGTTTTTCAAATGGTTAAACATTTACATTTCCCAACTGCCTGTGTCTTGAGGAGAAGGAAATTTTTTAAAATTCTGCTTACCATGTTCATTCTTTTCACATTGTCATTTGCTTTGTATGTATCACTCCTCAGAATGGCATAGGGATCTTTACTTGCTTTCTTAAATCAAGCCAATCTTAATCGTGTCAGACAGTCCAGATCTCTGGTGTCAAATACTAAGGAAGGGAAGATGGCTCATAAATGAGCAGCATTTTATAGTGCGAATCTTCAGATTAAGAATTCTGCCGATTTTATTTTCCTCTAAAAGTCAGGGTAGGATTGTGAAAAGTTGTTAAACAACATACTTAAATGTGAAAAGTGTCCACCCTCACTCTAAACTTTCCCCGTCCCAAGTACAAATTGAAGATTCTTCATTGGGTTTTATATAGGAAGTTTACATTTTGGTAGTTCAAGAAGAAGGGGAGTTGGGACTTGTTGTAAAACATTGCAGATTGTAGCCCATGTCCTGCCTGAATACCATTGATTGATCGTTTTATGAAAAGTACCTTTAATAAAGCTGGATATTGTTTGGCTTGGACTGTTTTTAAATAGTATTGTGTTTGCTTCATGGTGTACTTTTATTTCGGTTTTTCACTTCTATTTAAGCTTCCAAGTTTATCCCAAACACAATACTAGTATGCTCACCGAGGTGGAGAAATCGCACATTTGAATACTTTGCCATGAGAAGATTAGCATGTTACCGGGGTGGGGGTCCTTGATATGCTCTTGAGTACTCAGTTATGTTTTTCCCATCTGTCCAGAGAATTGTACTGTACTGTATTTTTTAAAGATCCATACCTATTCCTTAGGTAAGCTAGAGTTTTCAGTCACCTTCCTTGTGTTTTGCAAAAAATAAAAAATGGTTCTTTAGGGGCTGCTACAGTCGGAGAATGGAGTACAATTATGTAGAAAAGCCATGGGTCAACACCCACATCTGAATACTTTTATGTATGGTTGGATTAAAAGCCAAGGGTTGTATTTACAGAATTAGTAATGTCATTGTTTGGTTTTGATCTGAACATAATACAGTACTGAACTAGTCAGTTGAAATAATAGAAGTATTTTATGAACAAATAACATAAAATGTATCTTTTTATATATTGAATATTCAAAGGCCATACAACTTGACATTTTGTGTTTTATAACAAATCAGCCCCAGTCAATGATGTGTGTAAATTTGCATAGTTGGACTTTCTGATGACAGAATTATGTTGCATGTTTTGACAATAAAATGTTTCATAGCCCTACTTGCTCTGCTCCATTGATCAGGGTCTGTTTATGCTATCTTTTACACTACACGTACCCCGTAGCCTGTGTATTCTCCCTGGTTTGTACAGAAAGCTGTGCATCCATAACCCCACTGTACTGCCATGTAACCAGCATAAACATCAAACTACTGAACCATATATTTTCTTTCAGTCACTTTCTTCTAACTATAAAGCTCCTTGGCTATCGTTACATATATCTTCCAGTCCCCAAGTTACGAACAATATAGTTACACTTAAATATATATATACCTGTTCCAACTTAAGAATCAACCTGTCTCTCTCTGTGTGTGTGTGTGTGTGTATGTATGGCTGAAGTTACACTTTAAAATTGACCTGTTTCGATTTGCATACATAAAGGTAAAGGTTTCCCCTATTTAAGTCTAGTCATGTCCGACTCATTTCTAAGAAAAAGAGCCGACGTTGTCTGTAGATATCTCCTAGGTCATGTGGCTGGCATGACTGCATGGAGCACCGTTACTTTCCCAGCAGAGCGGTACCCTGGGCTGTTGTAGGTTTTTTCAGGCTATATGGCCATGGTCTAGAGGCATTATCTCCTGACATTTCGCCTGCATCTATGGCAAGCATCCTCAGAGGTAGTGAGGTCTGTCGGAAATAGGACAATGGGTTTATATATCTGTGGAATGGCTGGGGTGGGGCAAAGAGCTCTTCTCTGCTGGAGCTAGGTGTGAATGTTTCAACTGACCACCTTCATTAGCATATAATGGCTTGACAGTGCCTCAAGCAAACTTTTGTTGAGAGGTAATTAGATGTCCCTGCCTGCTTCCTCTCTGTTGTTGTGCTGTTACAATTTTAGAGGTTAGCATGTGGACAATTTCAACAGAAAGGAGGAAACCATGAAAATGAACAAAATCTGGCTACCAGTATTAAAAAAACTCTAAAATTACAACAGCACAACAACAGAGAGGAAACAAACAAGGACATCTAATCACCTCTCAACAAGTTTGCTCTAGGCACTGTCAGGCCATTATATGCTAATCAAGGTGGTCAGTTGAAACATTCACACCTAGCTCCACAGACAAGAGTCCTTTGTCTCACCCTGGTCATTCCACAGATATATAAACCCTTTTCCTAGTTCCAACAGACCTCACTACCTCTGAGGATGCTTGCCATAGATACAGGGAAATGTCAGGAGAGAATGCCTCTAGACCATGGCCATAGCCCGAAAAAACCTACAACAACCCAGTGATTCTCGGCCATGAAAGCCTTCGACAATAACTATAAATCCCAGCAAGTACAAGTCCCAAATCCCAAGGTCTATTTTCCCAAAACCCCACTAGGGTTCACATTTGGGCATATGGAGTATCTGTGCCAAGTTTGGTCCAGATCCATCATTGTTGGAGTCTAGAGTGCTCTCTGGATGTAGGCGAACTTCAACTCCCAAACTCAAGGTCAATGCCCATCAAACCCTTCCGGTATTTTCTGTTGGTCATGGGAGTTCTGTGTGCCAACTTTGGTTCAATTCCATTGTTGGTGGGGTTCAGAATGCTCTTTGTTTACAGGTTAACTATAAATCCCAGCAACTACAACTCCCAAATGGCAAAATCAATCCCCCCGCCAACCCCACCAGTATTCAAATTTGGGCATACTGGGTATTTGTGCCAAATTTGCTCCAGTGAATGAAAATACGTCCTGCAGATCATTATTTACATGGCGATTCATAATGTTAGGGTTATGGTTGGGGGTCACCACAACATGAGGAACTGTATTAAGGGGTCACGGCATTAGGAAGGTTGAGAACCACTGGCCTAAGACAATACAGAGCGGTACTCCTTGATCTACTCACATTTGCATGTTTTCAAACTGCTAGGTTGGCAGAAGCTGGGGCTAACAGCAAGAACTCACCCCACTCCCCAGATTTGAACCGCCGTCCTTGTACATGCGCATACTTTGAATAGTACAGGGAAAGGTTAACACCCCTGTGGTGTTTGTTTTGATGTCTGTGCCCCTGTTGAGAAGACTTTCTGTCCCTGTGATCACTGGATTTTGAAACATTTGGCTTGTTGAAACAAGGATTGGAAATAAAGCTCCAGCAGAGACACCTTTTCTCCATGATAACTTTCAGGAGTGAATTTCTCTTCCTGGGGGTAGATTTCTCTCTCTTGTCTCACCCCTGTCTGTAACAAGTCATTTGTAAGTTTGATGTTTGCAACTTTAGGGACTGCCTGTACATATGCTTTGGCTAGTGTTAATATGGTGTTGATGCAATTTTTACTGTAATGGAGAAGGTAACAAATGGGCCTATACTTGTAGAGAAAAGACAGTTTTCCCCATTAAGCTGTTTCCCTTAGCAAAAGCATATGAAGAACTTTCATTCCGTATCACTCCTTAAGAGGAAAGTATTATCTCTATATATAAAAATGCTCTCTGCGTAATGAGTACCTTAAAAACAAAAAAACCAATGAACGAAATGACACCAAATTTGGCAACAAAATGTCTCACAACACAAGGAGTGACCACCACTCAAAACATGATTTTGTCAATGTATTGTCGAAGGCTTTCATGGCCGGAATCACTGGGTTGTTGTAGGTTTTTTCGGGCTATATGGCCATGTTCTAGAGGCATTTTCTCCTGACGTTTCGCCTGCATCTATGGCAAGCATCCTCAGAGGTAGTACTACTTCCAACAGACCTCACTACCTCTGAGGATGCTTGCCATAGATGCAGGTGAAACGTCAGGAGAAAAATTGCCTCCAGAACATGGCCATATAGCCCGGAAAAACCTACAACAACCCAATGATTTTGTCATTTGGGAGTTGTAGTTGCTGGGATTTATAGTTCACCTACAATCAAAGAGCATTCTGAACTCCACCAATGATGGAATTGAACCAACCTTGGAACACAGAACTCCCAAGACCAACAGAAAATACTGGAAGGGTTTGGTGGGCATTGACCTTGAGTTTTGGAGTTGTAGTTCACCTACATCCAGAGAGCACTGTGGACTCAAACAATGATGTATCTGGACCAAACTTGGCACAAATACTCAATATGCCCAAATATGAACACAGATGGAGTTTGGGGAAATAGACCTTGACATTTGGGAGTTGTAGTTACTGGGATTTATAGTTCACCTACAATCTCTGAATCCCACAAACGACAGAATTGGGCAAACTTCCCACACAGAACCCCCATGACCAACAGAAAATACTGTGTTTTCTGGTGGTCTTTGGTGACCCTTCTGACACCCCCCTGGTGACCCCCCCCCCCCCGGGGTCTTGACTTCTCAGGTTGAGAAATGCTACCTTAAGGCCATCCAGTCCAACTCCCTTCACCAGGGCAAGAAAACATAATCAAAGCCCTCTTGACAAAGGGCCATCCAGCCATTCACACACACACACATATATGTATATGACAGATGCAGTATCAAAGATTTGAAAGGGACCCTAAAGAAGGACAATGATATGTTGCATGTTCCAGAGTAGGCAAACCAGACAATCTCCACATCAACACTGACAAAGAAACAGCAAGAAATACTGTTTACCCACAAGCATAAAGAAATTACATATATTAGAAACCAACACTTTCTCATTACTTTATTTTCCAGATCAACAGACTGGGCCACAGCAACGCGTGGCAGGGGACAGCTAGTTATTAATAATAATAATAAGAAGAACTTTATACCCCGCTCCATCTCCCCCAAGGGGACTCGGTGCGGCTTACATGAGGCCACACCCATCGATACAATACAAGCAATATAACACAAAACACAATAAAACGAGCAAAATACATAAAATGCAAAATAAAACACAATATAAAATCAAACATTAAAAACACAGGGAATTTCACTAGGCAGGGCCAGATGCATGGATAAAATTATTTAAAAAATTTAAAACACTGGGAGATAGGACAGTGTAACTTATAAGGAGGAGGCTCCAAAAATGAGGAAGGATTTCATTGCACAACCCATAAAATAAAGTGCGTCTAAGGACATTTTGTGCAAAGTGTGGTCAGGGAGAATCTTCCATTTGATCACTGAAGGCACATTGGAATAACCAGGTTTTCAAATTCCTCCTAAAGATTGCCAGTGTGGGGGCTTGTCGAATGTTTCTGGGGAGTTCCAGAGCCGGGGGGCCACCACAGAGAAGGCCCTCTCATCCCCGCAAGTCGCACCTGCGATGCGGGCGGGAGCGAAAGGAGAGCCTCTCCGGAGGATCGAAGGGATCGCGTGGGTTCATAGATGGAGGGTTAATCCCAGATGGTGAAGCTGGGAGACACCTGCTCGGACCCCTGGCCTTTGACCTGTGGGGTCCCGCAAGGTTCCATTCTGTCTCCCATGCTTTTTAACATCTACATGAAACCGCTGGGAGAGGTCATCCGGAGTTTTGGAGTTGGGTGCCATCTCTACGCAGATGACATGCAACTCTATTACTCTTTTCCACCTAACTCCAAGGAAGCCCCTCGGGTGCTGGACGAGTGCCTGGCCGCTGTGGCTGTCTGGATGAGGACAAACAAGCTGAAGATCAATCCCGACAAGACAGAGGTCTTCCTGGTCGATCGTAAACCGGATCGGGGTATAGGGTGGCAACCTGTTTTGGATGGGGTTGCACTCCCCCTGAAGTCACAGGTCCGCAGGCTGGGTGTCACTTACGCTTGAGGCTCAGGCATTGGCGGTGGCCGGGAGGGCCGTTGCACAATTAAGACTCGTGTGCCAACTGCGATCATACCTCGTGAAGACGGATCTGGCCAGAGTGGTCCATGCTTTAGTCACCTCCAGATTGGACTACTGTAATGCGCTCTATGTGGGGCTGCCCTTGAAAATGGCTCAGAAATTTCAGCTGGTCCAATAGGCAGTGGCCACATTGTTAACTGGTGCTCCTTACAGGGAGTGGTCAACCCTTCTGTTTAAGGAGCTCCACTGGCTGCCATTCATTTTCCGGACCCAATTCAAGGTGCAGGTTCTTACCTACAAGACTCTGAACGATTTGGGACCTGCCTGCCTGCGTGACCGCATTTCTGTGTACG